CGACTATTGGAACTTTTCTTTTTTGCTGTAGAAAATTTTAAATATATTTATTCGCGTTTTGGTTTTGCATATTTTTTTACTTACCTTATATTCTGCTTGTTTTTCTGTTACTGTCAAATTTGTTCCTGGAGCTTTCGTTCTTCATATTTTATTTTGTTGCATTTTCCAAATGCTTTAGTCTCGGAAGAATACATTTAATAAACCTTGTCTTGTCACTAGCAGTTTATAAAGGTGAATAAAATAACGTTGTAAATGGTAAAGATAGAACTTATTTTCTACTTGAGAACGCTTTTAAATAATGAAAACTATCATACTGTTCAACTTTTTGGCATTGTTTTCTACCTTATTTTCTATATTTTTGGCTTCTTCTACACTATTCAAAAGTAAAACTTAATTATTTAATTATTGTATCAAAAGAGAACAGCTGACACAATTTCTATTTGAAAAGAAAGTCGCTTAGCAAAAGATAATTTTTATTTTTCATATGTTATTAAACTGTAAATCACTTTTCAGACAACTATTAGAATTTAAGACTGATACGTATTGTTGACAAGAGATAACTGAAAATTTGCTTTTTTTTATCATTTAAAATTATCTGTAATTAAAAAATACTTATTTTTTTTCCATTTACAGCAATTTGCGACAAATATTGTTTGACATTTATCTGATAAAACGCATATTTTTATTAAATATAATAAAGTTGTACCTAAATTCGATAAATTTATGTTGTATTTTAGCTGCAACGTAGATTAGAATTTCTTTAAAAAAATTTTTTTTCAATTCTAAGGTGTGATAAAAAAAAAACTTAATTGCTAACTTATGAAACTTCTTAACCTTGAAAAAATGAACTGAGGTAGGAAAAACAAATACGTAGAAAAAAAGAAAACTTAGAGAACAACGTGCCGCCGTAATTAAATGTTTCATCTCCTTCGCTAAGTTTCCTTTATATAATGTCAAAAAGTTTCTTTTAAAATTAATAAATTAATTGTGGTTAGAAAACTTTTACTACATATTACTTACCTATTGTACCATCACTGCACCACATTTATCACACCAGTGAAAAAGTAAAAAATTCTAAAATCTACTAACTGTTTCTCAATAACGTTTACAACTGTCTTTGCTATTTTTAGTTTTCGTAGTTTTATAAATATAAAATTTTCTTTAGTTTTTTTTTTTTGCTATTTATTTACATCAGTTTTGCTTTTTTTGACTTTTAGCGGATAAAATTATAATTTCTGAAGAGATCTGAAGTGTTTGAATTACCTGCAACAGATAACAAATGTAGATTAAACTTTTAGTAGAAAACACTCAAAATACATTAACTGAAGTCTCAGTGTAAATAGTTTAAATTTGCAAAAGAAACACCTAAAATGTGGAACTTTCTTTGTAAAAAAATTATTGTATGACTTTTGCAATGCAGAAAAAAGAATTCGTTTTAAAGTACAATTTATTTTTTAAGATAATTACAAGCAAATGAGAGATTTAGAATATTTCATTCAGGCAGCTCCGAAGTCAATGAATTTGAGGAAAAGTTATCTTTGTTTTTTTTTTTTTTTTTTTGAAGCAATTGTTCGTTTTGCAAACAATTTCTTGTTTAAACTGTCTGTATTTAGTGTTAATGGCGACAGCGATGTAATGATATTTCAGAGAATCTGTAACGGTGGTCTTAATTTAAACACTTTAAATAATAAAATTTTTTTGGAAATTGCATAGTTTCTTTTAAAAATTTCTGCTTTTTTTCAAAAAAAAACGGATTATTAAGAAAGTTATGAAATCTGGAATTATGCATAGTTAAGCAAGTCTAAACAAATAATCAAAGATCGTTTTGGTAAAAAGTTCACTGTTAACCTGGTTCTTCTAATCGGGAAATAATTGTAACATGTGATCTAACTGAAAAATTCTCACTTAAAAGCATGCTTGATTTTGCTTAATTTTTTTAACATTACCAAGTGTTATTTTACAAAAACCTCAGTAAACTAATATAATTTTAAATGCAGCCTGGCCTTGTGACACATCGATGATTGACGCCAAAAGTTCGATCTTGCTTTGTCTGAAGCATAGGTAAAACTTCTCAAAGTTAAATTTTATTTTGGATGCGATTTTTTGTTTGACATCGACAGCTTTGAAGCGGTTTGGTGCTGGTCAATTTTTAGGCGACAAACTGTAGTTATATTGTTCAGATGTTAATTGAACAAACTGTTCGTTTTATAATTTGATGTTTTCAAAATGAAACGTCTGTTTTTACGTATAGAAGATGTTGATCAGTATTTAAGTACAGTATTTCGTCTACTTTATACATGAAAGCTTTATACGGCACTTCTGGAGTAGAGACATTTGTCTAAAAGTGTCCAAAAAGCGTGAAAAGTACATGTCGTCTAAATTATAAAAAGAAAGTGAAATTTAATTTGGCTCTTCATAGTTTAACAGCTTTAGCGTTGCTTTAAAAGTAGAATCTTATAGAAAAGTTTCTTTTTTGTTTCAAGAACTGAGGAGCTTTTGCAAAATTAGATATCTGGACTTTCTGTAATTTCTTCACTTAAATATTCAATTTGAATACCGGTTAAACTCCAAAATTCATCAGTAACTTTGATGCTTAAGAAAAGCAGCTTATTTGCTGGTATTATTGCTGTTTCAGTCAGTCTTTTACAGAGAAGAATTGCTTTTGTTTTGTGCACTTTTTAAGCTGAATCAAATTTAAAATTTTCGCCTGGTAGATAACAATTTCTCTTATAAAAACTTTTATTAAGACACTGCAAATAATATCTATACAAACAAGTCTTAACATTTTGAAAAAAATGCTTAAAATTAAAAAAAAAAATGAAAAGACTAAGAACATTCAGTTATGGACACAATGAAATGATAAGAACAACAAAACATAAATGGTTTTCCCCAGATAGATCATTCTGATGATTCAAAAAAAAACTCGTAAACTGTTAAGGAGACCAGAAATTTGTAATCTACAGATATGAATAGAAAGAATGATAAAAGAGTGCACAATTTAAAAGTCAGTATTTTTTGCGTCGCTGTTTTGACCTAAATACATATGACCGACGACCATCGTCTTACAGCTTCTACAATATGTCCCTTATTTTTTGATGCTCAATTATTGTCATAATTTATTTGAAACAAAAAATTTTCATCATTTCTCAGAGACAGCTGTATAAGTCTTCGCTTATTGTTTTATTAGACAAACTGTAAAATAAAAATTGCAAAGTAAAAATAAACTCTTTAACCTCTAGAAGGTAAATAAGGCTATAAAACTTTCTCTTCTCCAAAAGTTTTTTGAATGATTCACTTCTAAAATGTATCATTAAAAATGTACAAAGTTTACAAAAATAACACTGTGATAGTGAAAACCTTTCTTACATTTAAAATGAAGTAATTTAGGCAAGTTTCGACATTTATCTACTGATCAAATTGCTTCTGCTTATCTTTCATTGATCCACTTCACGTCAGAAACTATGTTTCTCACCTTTATTTGCTCTATTGGCCTCTTTCACAACAAAAACTGTGCTATTGCCCTCTACTAGACTGCCTTTTCTTCAGCCCTTTCTTTCCTCTGTTTGTGTGGAATTATATGAATAAAAAAGCTCAGTAAACAGACTGCTTATAAACGGGCAAGTCACTAAAAGTAAAGACATATAAATTTAGGCTGAAGATAAACATTGAAGACCACCTTATAAGTTTTGATACACTTGAGGACAGAATGTGTATAAAAGAAATACGCTCATTTAATGTTTGTAAAAAAAGTTTAGCAAGGGAATAACACTTAACTCCAGTCTTCATAGTAAAATAACTTACAAGAACAAAACGTCTTCTTTTTAACTGTCAAAAACCAACTGCCGCTGAATGCTTGCAGTGTTTGGATAAGTACTTGATTTCAGTCACTTTAGCATAAGCTTTCTAAAATTTTTTGTTTTGTAGTAGTTTTTGAAATAGTCATACTGAGGTATGCTGAGACTCGTTGACCAATTCCAATTTACACGTCTATTTAATAGATGTGTAAATTGGAATTGGTCAACGAGTCTCAGCATACCTCAGTATGACTATTTCAAAAACTACTACAAAACAAAAAATTTTAGAAAGCTTATGCTAAAGTGACTGAAATCAAGTACTTATCCAAAGCAAACCTAATGGTATGCTTCCTTCTTTGTCTTGACTGCTTATAATAACCATGTCTTTGCAGAAACCTCTGCACGGCTGCACTTTATCAGTCATCAAAACTATAGCGAGTGCCGTTCAAATATTCCCAAATTTTTGACTAAAACTAGCAACGACAGCCAATTTGACTAAAATTTATCTTTGCGAAATGATTGGTATTTTTAATAACTCAAAATATTTACCAAAATTATAATTTATTTTTTACGTTATCTTCATCGTCAACTGCAGTCTTTTCTGGCTGCAAGAGATCCTGCTAGGTCCAAAGAGCATATTCTTATGAAATTTGTTAAAATATCTGTTCACGGTGAATTATTCAAATGCAGTGAAACTATCACAAAAATTCACTGTAGCTAATTAGTTAAATAATTTAAAAATCTGTAAATTATTCAACTTATTCTTCTCAAAAGATGAGTTTAGATTAGACGAGAGAAGGGCTAATAAAGCCGCACAAGTTGGACTTCTTTAAAAGTTCAGATTAAAGTTGGTTTAAGATAGCTTCATCTTCAAGTTACCAAAACTGATGACAGCATAGATTTTCCAATTAAAAACCAACCCTCAAGCATTGCAAATTAAACAATTTAAGTGACAAGACAAATTTACCAATTATTCTTCAGAAAGGTAGTGTGCTTGACGACATTTCACTGAAGAATTATCAGCACCTCAACAAAGATACTCAAACAAAAACTTGACTACTATATCAAATTTTTTAGCAGCGATAAGGCAGATTCAAGAATGATGCAGCAGTACTTTTGAAATTTGTCCTAAACTATTATCTTTTTTAGGCAAAGAATACTGCGGCGTTGCGGCAAAGAATACTGCGTTATACATACCAATAAGATTCAGGTGACATTCCGATGCGCAAATGTCCCAATTAGCATCAATGCTGCAGTAACAAAAATGACAGCAAGTGAAAATATAATTAAAAAAACACGATCAAGTACTGTGGCTAAAAATTCCCATTCCAATGAACATTGCCGTCGCTGTTTCATTAACATAGTTTTATTTTCAGAAGAATTGTCCTAAAATGAAGAACGCAGCTATATCTCGACCACATACATGATAAGGTAGTGGTAAGAATTAGGCAGATTATAAAAAGAAGTTACCTTCGATGGTTTAGAAGAGGCAGATGGAGCAGCCTTAAAACCTGCTAAACTAATCGCGTTACCCCACATTCCCCGTGAACTTCTAGATGCAGGAGTTGCTGTCAGCGGCGAAGTTTGAGTAACCGTTGATGTCAAAGGGTTTTTAACCGGAGGAGTTGTGCTTTTATCTTCTAAATTTCCAAAAAACTAATATTCTCTTATCTTTACCAACAACTTGCCTATAGAAGTTGATTGTAATCGTAAACAAAAGAGATTATAAATACAAGAATGAAGTAAAAGCTTACCATTAGTATTTACAGATTCCAGCAGTTTTGTTGAATCCAACTGTTGCGATTTCAGATGACTTAGAGATGACAGCGAAGGCTTTTCAGGCACTGGTTTTGCAGGGGATGATATTGAGATTATATCGCTCTTCGGGCTTGTCTAACAATAAAAAACAAATTAATAATAGTGCTCTTGCAAGGTTAAACCGAAATTCTGATAATTTTTACACGCTGTTGGACACACAGAAAAGTAAGAAGCTTCTATAAAACCTAGGAACGAAGTAAAAGAAACGAACAGCATTAGTTTTGGAGAGCTCAATATCAGACATCGCATCGCTAGCCAAAGCCAAACTGTTTTTTCTATTGTTACGGAGGTGTTTTGGATCACTCTTAAAATAAGCGATGTTAAAGTATATTTCAATATCTAAGATGATAGATGTACTGGTAAAACTGAAAAAATACTGATACATCAAGTTCATTCCATAAAGATGCCAGTGCTGGAGGTGGATGCACATACACCCAACAGGCAACGTAACCAAACATTAAACTTCGGCATGCCGGCGGCGGTAGTTTGCAAGACGTCCTCTTAGCATGAATACTAAGAATTATTGTAGTCAAAAATGTGCCGACAGAAATAATCATAATAATGGACAAGTAAAACCAGGCTGAAAATGAAATTTAATTAAGAAATATTTAAATTAGCTTGCTAAATAATCTGTAGTTTGTTCGGTACCTATCAGTGGCACAAATTCAGAAGTTGTTGGCATTGAATCAGAAACAATAAGCATCAAAATGGACATTGCTAACAGTGTCGTAATTCCAAGGTTAATTTTTTCTTTTCTGTCATCCTCGGTTGATGCAGGAGTGAAAAATCCCATAATTGATACTGTAAGAATATAAAAGTACTATCAAGAAAAAAAAGCTGAGATGCTAAAATTTTTTTTTAATAGTCTTGACTTCTTTAAACGAACTTTATAAGCAGTTACCAAGAGTAATTATTGATGTTGGTATGATCAGATTTACTAAATAATATAGTGGCTTTCGTCTGATAATTAAATGAGCCCGCAGAATAATCCATGGTCTTAGACAGCAGTTGTATTTAGTCTGCAGTCAGAATTGGTAAATTATTACTAAAAATTACTCATCAAAAGCAAAAAAAACCTCACAAAAATTTTTTTGATTTTTTATCGTAACCTGTCTGTTTTTTCAATAACAACTTATACTGATTGAATAAGTACTCCTACGCTAGAAGCAGATGAAATGAGATTGAAGTCAATTGTAAAAAGCATACAACATGTCGATAGGTAGTAAACTTCTCCACTTTCCACTCTTCATTGTCTATATACGGTGCCATATTGACTTCGAGGTCTGCGCTATAGTCGAGTGCTGAAGAATCATGCGTCCACGACCCAATAACTAGCGTACAGTTCTGTCAATATCGCTTATTTATAGACAAGTATATCACCAAAGTTGCTGTATCAGAAAGATAACGCTTTGACTGAACAATAAAAATGTTTTCTACTAAATATCAGAATTTGAGCTAATAAACGCTATAAATATAACATCTGCTTGTCTGCAGTGTTAGTGAGATGTTATAAGAATTTGCGTCATTTTTAGTGGTAAGGAGGTGAAAAAGTTATTTAAATAGACTTTCGTTTCTATTAGTCGTCTTTTGGTGATACTGCTACCAATTTTTTTTTGTACATTTTCTATTTGTGTTTTCATTACCTGTAAATCGTAAGGGAAGTAACGAACATTCATCCAGCAGGTTACTGTATAAATTGCTGGGTATAAAAACGAAACTTTAGCTCCAACTTTTCCTTCGTTAAACAAAGTATCCAGCTTGATGTTCATGTAACGTTCTGTCTCATCATGAGCCATTACAACACTGTAATTGAGCGTTCTAAGTCGCTAGGATTTAGTCGATATTGAATGCTAGTTTTTTGTTGTTCTACTGCACAAATATTTTCGTTGTATTTATCAAACTGTCTCAGACAATGAAAGGTTTTTGCCTTTGACGACCACAACAATAGCTCTAATAGGAAAGATGTGTGTGAATCAGTTTTATGCATTTCGCTGGAAATCCAATTTTAGCTACTTGTTAACTTCCTCTTTCACTGTTTCCCAGTAGTGCTTTCTCTAACACCTTTCTGGATTTCCAATCTTTGTCCAAACTACAGAGAAACGGGAGGGAAAAAATATGCAATTAGACCTTAAATGCGCAATCTTTCTCAACTCATCGCAAAACGAAAGTTGCCAATTTAAACTGCTGGATTGTAAATGCTATCTTAACTTTCTTCCCGCTGTTGAGCCTTCTTCGCTAAAACATTCGCTCTACCTTTACAAATTTTTATCAGCAACTTTTTTTGCTACTTCTCGCAAATATTTTACAGATATTATACAAATTAGAACGTTTTTGATACTTTTCACCGCTTTGAAAGTCTATATGCTATGCTTCAATCGGCAGAAAAAAAAATGATCAAACTTGAGCTTTTTTTCTATTTTTTTTTATAATTATTTCAAACTTTTTTCTTTCTTTGCAGGAGTTTTTGTTACTTACACAATTTTTTTCATTTGCTTTCTTAATCAAAGCAAAATTTATTTCTACTGCATAAATTTTATGCTTTGTTCACTCTTAAATCACTTTTACCAGTCAATAAAACTAGTGAGAATGTCAAGCAACTCTTGAATTACAGCTAATTTTTCAAAAACTTATTAGCCAACCTATTATAAAGATACGTATCTGGTATCCATAATGAGTTATGTGGAAGAATCAATGATGTAATACCATTAAAATCGGCCGGATTCCAGCCTAAGAACTCGTCAACCCAGGACTGCAATTGTCTATCAGTGTATTTTTTGAATTTTTTTTTTTTTTTAAGTATTTTTTGAAGACTTAAAATTTATCGTTTTGTTTAACTTAAAAAAGTTATAAACTTGAATAGCAGACTATTACTGGTGTTTTATAGTTGTTCTTTGAAACTTTGTTAGTAATTTTGAACATTCAAATAAACAGCAGATTTAAAAACAAAAAAGTTTGCTGACCTGAATCATCCAAATGTTCATCTTAATATTTTGTTCTGGTTCGTTCTGCAAAAACATTAACACAATAAAATCTTTAACATTTTTGAAATTTTTTGGGCACCTATTTCTTACTAGTAAGAAATAAAGTTTGAATGAACTATTATAAGCTAAAATTAAGAAAAAAAAATGACAAAATACTCTAACCACTTGTATAATTTGATATAAACTCATTGATATATGCACATGAGTAGGATTTAAGTGATTGTATACTGGTCGAATACGTTTACTATATCTGAAAAATAAATAATTTTTGCAACTAAAAATACGGAACAGAAATGAAACTGCTGCAGGAAAACTAAAGTAGGCTTTCGAATTTACCTGGCTTCATCCAGTAGAAAATCGGTTAATCGTCGATGCGGTACATTTCCAACATCGTGAATAGCTTTTGTTAAGTTCATTGCAAGAATATCAGCCATGTTGAGAGCTGGCTCAGTAAAGTAATCTCCAGCAACGTAGTTACCTGTATTGCCAATTGAAAATACATTTAGCCAAGTAAAGCAAAAGAAGATGAATAAATGATTAAAAATAAGCAAAAAAGTATAAG